CTGTGCTCTAAGTCAGGAACAAGGGACTTCCATGAATGGCTGCAGAGGTCTCACTTTTATAGCACAATATGTCGCGCACATTAACCCCTCAGCCCCCTCCACCCCCCCTAAAATCGTCTTCCCTCTTCCTTATATCTCTTCTTCTCTCTTCTCCACAGAATGTGTACTCCCGCTTTGCGGCCCCCAAGTTATGGGCAAGCTCCTGCGAGGGAGTCTTCGCCAGTGTGTATGATAGATTTAGCTTAGCTACCAGATAGGCGGTTTTACGCTCCGCCCGTCATATGTTCCGTTTCGTGACCCCACGGCACGTGATCTTACTTGACACATGACCGAATTTCTGACGTAAAATAGCAACTACTATGTTAGTTACTACTACTACTACTACTACTACTCGAGATGGATTAATAGTTGGTCCGATTACCTCGGCCGACAGATCCCTCATACGGACACACTCGTTTAGATAGCCAAGCACTCATTCTATCATCTATGGTGTCTATAGATATCAATGTCACCCTCCGTGTAATCTAAATTTCCTCTTCATATATAGCCTCGTGCAGTCCGGATAATCGACTCCTTGACTCGGAGTTTAACCGCCTTATTGGCTTATCTGTTTCACTTATCACTGAGCGCGCCCTGAGTAGGCACTGAGTACCGACCTGTGACAGAAAATACTCACTGAGCAAGCCACTGAGCACCCTCATAGAAGCGGTGGCATCCGGAAGGGGATGGTTGACTCGCTCTTTACGTGTGGCCGGCCATTAGGCAGATCTGGAAGTGTTGGGAACAACCCTGTCGCTTGGTGTAACAGGCCGGTTGTACAGGGAATCCAAGCTGAGCTCCCCCGCCATATATAGTGCCAGGTCCATTCGTGCCCCTGAAGCATTTACTCACAAGTTCAACTGAAAAGTTAATCCAATTAGTTCTTCTCACGGTATTCCAAAATGTCACCCAGGGCTTTCGAATTGATCGCTGCTCACAGCCATGTTGACGATGTGGTTGCTTCTGCAGCGAAGCAATGTGGTGTGGATAGCAGCCAAGTGCAAGATATATATCCCTGTACTCCCCTCCAGAAGGAGATGTTCTTGCATTCGCTATCGGGCAGGAAATCCCAGCTGGCCCGGGAGGTGGTTGAGCTCGCTGAGGATGTGGATGTCCCTCGTTTGCAACAGGCATGGAAGCATGTCTACCAGGGGCTTCCCATCCTGCGCACGCGGTTTGTTCGTACTGAGTCGGGAGAGCTTGTGCAGGTTGTCGTCCGAGAGGACCTGGTCTGGCAGTCACAAACAGACCATTCAACGGCCGATGCACAGCATCTGCCTGCCCTAGGAAAGCGCCTGGCTCACTGGGCGCTGATTCCAGAGGGCAAGTCCTCGCCCAACGGCCATTTGATTGTGACCATACACCACGCTCTGTTCGACACCATCACGCTAGGCCACATCTTCGGCGCCGTCTTCACGGTATACCAAGGCATCCAGCTGCCCGTGCAGCCCGTTTCCTTCGCATCCTTCCTAGCCCGCGTGGCTGAGAACCAGACCCAGAGACAAGACTCCCATGAATTCTGGCGCTCCTACCTCTCCAACTGCACAGCGTCCGCGTTTCCTGCCCTGCCGTCCCCGGACTACCACCCAAGCGCCAATAACGGTTGCCAGCGCCACATCCCGCTCCTCACGTCCACCGAACCGGCGTTGCAGCGACATGGACTTACGCTGTCGACACTCGTCCGCGGCGCATGGGCAATCATGCTGTCGAAACACACGAACTCCGCTGAGGACGTGCTCTTCGCCTCCCTCGTATCCGGTCGGAACGTCACCCTCCCCGGCATTGACCACTTAGCCGCACCCACCCAAGCATACGTGCCAATCCGCATCTCAATTCCACCGAACGAACCTGCCTCCAGCTTCCTATCTCGCATGCAAACACAAGCAACAGCCATGACCTCCTTCGAGCACGACGGTATCGACTATATCCGCAGTATCGACGAACACGTCCGTGACACGTGCAGCAAAATTGGCCACTTACTCGTGGTCCAGCCGCTGCCGGCTGAGGCCTCGCCGGCTGAGTTCCCTGGGCGCATTGTCTCGGGGCCAAGGGTGAATGTGGCGGCGATGGGGGAGTTCACTTGGCATGGGCTGATGGTGCAGTGTATTATTCTTCCCGGCGGTGTTTTGGTAAGGGCTTGTTTTGATGATGGTGTTTTGTCGCCGGGGGGTATGGAGGGTGTTATTGACGAGTTTGGGCGGGCATTGGGGGAGTTGGTGGAGGGGTTGGATGTGTAGTTTTTGGGGGGCACTGGATATTCTGTGGGAGTTAATGGGAGATGGGACTTTATTTGTAAATGACGCGGTGCTTGGTAAGACAGTGTTAAAGTAACTAACGACAGCGAGACGGTTATGGTGGTTGGAGAAATTTAGTACGTGCGGAATTATATCTTATTGTGAACAGGCACTAACCAGACATGTCCATTGCAAATTCTACTTGGATGTCGAAATCCCTTTAAATCAAAGAAATAGCACCTAGATACTGTGGCCATCAGAGCTCTCTTTTATCCTCATTCCAGTCCTGCTACACTGGACCTCATGGTATCCGCAGCGCTTACATCTGTTCGCGGCACGACGCAGAGTATGCATCTGCGGACGATACCCTGAGCCCCAGTGAAAATGGATGTTTGGTGTGGGCTGTGCCTGTTGAGTTCATCATGTGAGCCATATCTATACAACGCAGTCGTTGACAGGGTTGCAGAATAGATGATGTCAGACCGACCATCATACGGACGAAGGGATATGCTTCGCTCTCGCCTTAAGCCGCACAAGAGCCTGTTCAACGATTGGTCGCGGGATATTAGGGATAATTTCCCCATCTGCATCACCTCCCGACGTAGACTGCGCCCCTTTCTTAGTCTCGTCCGTGCTAACCCCCTCCTGATTGTGAAAAGCATCCTTGAGATTCCCACCGGAAATGCGCCGGAATTCAACGTGCATGGGCTCGCGGCTCAGTCCGGGCCATATGTCTGACGGAAGATAGTCGCCTTGCTCTACGCGGAAGGTTTCACGTGCGTTGACGTCCTCTTCGTAGAGATGGTCGAGCTTGTGTTGGGTTTCTCGGAGGACTTTTTCGACGCGCGCTCGGACGTGTTTCCGACGGGCGACTTCTAGGAGTAGGCCATCGTAGGCGTCTAGGAAGCCGTCGTAGAGGGAGTGGAGGTCAGACAAGTCAGCTAGACCGCCGTTGATGCGCTCGTTCTCGTCATTCCATACGTGCATGAAGTTGTGTGCTTGGGCTATGTAACCTGGTAGACGAGACGAGGCGAGAGAGGATAGATGCTCGTAGACGTTAGTCGTAGCTTGATAGACCGCCAGCAAGACATCGCGTTGGGCGAGAAGGTTTTCCAGAACGGATTCCATATCTCCGATTCGGTCTTGGATCTCCATAACCACGTCTTCCGCCTCGGCTGCATCTTTGATTAGCACATTCACCATTTCGCGATAATGCGACTCGCTCAAAGGATCCATTGGTGCATTTAGGTTGGCGTTAAGACCCTCTCGGACAGGGACTCCGGTTGGCATGTCGCCGGTAATGGATTGTGCAGCGGCCCCACCACCCTCTGTATGCTTGACGGCCATGACGCAGAGGTCAAAGTGCTCCACCAAAGATTCGAGCAAGTTGGCCATTTCTTGCGCATGCATTTCTAAGGAGTACAGCATTGGTGGTAATGATGAGGGCGATGGTAGACTGGAGTTGGAGTCGGAGGATGATGCAGAGGCCGATGGAGAGGACCGTGAGGATGCCATCTTGGTGGCAGCCCGATAATGGCCCAATGCTTGTTTGATGGACCCCAGCTCATCATCAAATGCGGCGTTGGAGGAATCCAATTCCGCCTGCGCGGTATTTGTGGTATCGATGGAACTTTTCAACGCGGCATTAAGCTCTTCAACCCCGCGCTCGTCTACGAAATCACGAAGACTCCTGGGTTCTTCGCCCTCTGGTCGAAAAGACGCATGGACAATGGTCTCCCGTAACAAATCCAGTGTCTTCCGTAGTCTTACATCGGCGGCATCCAAGCTCTTGAGCACACTGGCGAATTCCGTCCGACCGCGCAGAGATATCTCCTCCACTTCCGTACGAACATTGTATAAAAGCCGCAACTGGTTATTTAATCCACGACGCAGGAAACCCGTTCGGGCAGAGACCACCACACTCTCTTCCAGGGCTGAGCGAGCGGACGTGACGATTTCATTTGCCCGCGCGACATGGTTGATGGAGGACAGGGACCTCTTTGCGGCAACGAGGTGAGAAATGAGGGTATCCAATTGAGGCATTTGGCTAGTCTGGGGATGGGCGACCCCTGTCGCGGATGCATCGCCATTACTGGGCGCTGAGGAGGACTGCGAGGATGATGCCATTGTGGAGGGGCGTTGCGCCAGCTGTGCTCGCAATTATGAGGCAAGGTTGGGCAGGATTAGAACAATGATGCCAGGAGACTAAACCGTTGGTTTCAGAGTGATCTGCTAGTAGTCGCAACCTTATAATATAGACGGGATACAGGGATCGGGGATCACTTCATCGTGGTGTGTCTGTGTTCTGGATGCAGAGATATCAGCATTCCGACTTGTCACTTGCGGTGAATCGTGCGACAATGTTTCATGACGCCATTTCGTGGGCTGATTGCTTGCACAATGATAGATCACGAATAGGGAATAGCCAGAAATAGACAAAATGGGAGACTGACTCACTGTACTCAGTACTCCGTGCTCGGGACAGATACGGACCTTGCTGGCGTATAGCAGATGACGTGATGGGCGGGACCCTGATAGATTCTTCGTGAGATGGAAGAACAACCCTTGAAGTAGAAAGTAATAGCTGTAGCTCTAGCTTGTGTTAGTTCTAATAGTGACTGTAGCAGTAGAGTGCTAGAGGAGTAATGGTTGTGTGGTGGTAGAGAAGCTCTACGGTGGTGGTAGATAACTGCCGCCTGCGGATATCCGTTGTACAGGTACTTGTACAGGTACTTTTACACTGAAACGATGCCCCGGATAATTCACACCGCTAGACCGGGTCTCTGCACGAATCCTCCATACTCTGAGTACAAAATCCGTCGATCCTCCAGAGAAAAATGCGATGAGTGATTGAAGAATCACGTGGGACCTGCCTGAATAGGCTTAGTGTGGCCATCACGAGTTGCCGCCATGGACTTGCGTGATTCTTGGAGACTCTAGAGCCATATTGAGTGCTGTCAGTGTCGTGATTCCTCTTTCATATTATTCTCTGCAGCATTCCTTCTTCTCTCTATTTTCTCCCTGTGGCTGGTCCATACTTAAATTCTCCTATCGCCCCCTGTTGATTTCTTGCTGGAGACCCCCATATAATCCATACCGATTGTTATCGGCGACCTCGGTGATCTGCGCTTGTCTCTGCCCGCCACGGTCCTCTCTCCTTACCTATTACTAGAGCACCTCGACTTGACCTCTGTGCTCTTTCGATATTCTACTCGTCTGCGTGTGCGCTATACTGCGTTTGTTCTCCCGGTTGAATTCCATTTGACAGCCGTGGCGGACGTTTGTGTCGCATCGAGTTGACATTGCGCGAAACACACTGCTACGACAGCGCATCGTGGTACAAGCTGAATCGCACGCCATTCGCGACTAAAAGGAGAATATGGCCGTGGAACTCTCACGCGAGTCGCCCTCTAAGTCCATCTTTGGTCCTTCCGACATGGTCAGAGAGTCGGATGGGGATGACTCCGACTGCAGCCAGTCCACGCCCCACTATAGCAGCAGCGCAACACCGACGACACCCGCGAAGCTCGCCAACAAGAATATCGCTCCGTTTCTTGCCAAACACATCCCCGAACAGTACGCTCCTCTAGGTTCTCGCGCCGGTGAACAGTCCGACTCCTACAAAGCCAATTCCAAATATTGTTATCGCCACCGCCCAGATCTCAAGTGCCGGCGACAGGCTGACGAACCCTCAATGGACAAATTACAGCACGTACGTTTTCTTTTTACCCCGTTCTGACAGCCAAAATGCCGTGACGGGAGAAATTTTTGCTGACTCTATGTAGGATCTAGAAACGCTCCCTCAGAGCGACCAACAAGGCATCGCACATGTCTGGTCACTCTTTTCAGCCGCCCCTGCCAAGCATCGAAAACTCATGCTCCAAGGGATCATGTCCCAATGCTGTTTCCCGCAACTGTCGTTTGTATCCGCCACCGTCCGTGACCTGATTCGGATCGATTTTATGACCGCCCTTCCTCCGGAGATTGCATTCAAAATTCTTTGCTACCTCGACACGACCTCTCTCTGCAAGGCGGCCCAAGTCTCGCGACGTTGGCGCGCGCTGGCTGACGACGATGTAGTTTGGCATCGCATGTGCGAACAGCATATCCACCGCAAATGCAAGAAATGTGGGTGGGGCCTGCCCCTGCTAGAGCGCAAACGCTTGCGGGAATCTAAGCGCGAAATCGAAATGCGCGCCACTGCCACTACATGGGACGTCAGCGGGCCGTCGCCGACTCTCACTGCTGCGCAGGACACCGAAAGCCGTGAAGAATCTCCGGCTGCATCAGAATGCGCGGGTACAAAACGAAAGCCCGAATCGAGCGAAGATGAAACGGCAATGGTCAAGCGTCATTGCACTTCGTTGTCCTCCGGTACGGAGAAGGCTGGTACGGAGAATGCAGACGACTACTACAAGACCAAATACAGGCCGTGGAAAGATGTGTACAAGGATCGGTTCAAGGTTGGGACGAACTGGAAGTATGGACGATGCTCGATCAAGACATTCCGTGGACACACCAACGGCATCATGTGTTTGCAGTTTGAGGACAACATACTGGCGACCGGATCGTATGACGCGACGATCAAAATTTGGGATACCGAGACCGGCGAGGAACTTCAAACTCTCCGAGGACACGAGTCCGGTATTCGCTGTCTGCAATTTGACGACACCAAGCTGATCAGTGGCAGCATGGACCGGAGCTTGAAGGTGTGGAATTGGCGCACTGGCGAGTGCATCTCCACCTACAGTGGTCACCGTGGTGGTGTCATTGGTCTACACTTCGATTCCACCATCCTCGCCTCTGCCTCTGTTGACAAGACAGTTAAGATTTGGAACTTTGAGGACAAGTCAACCTGTCTCCTGCGTGGACATTCGGATTGGGTCAATGCAGTCCGGGTCGACACCAAGTCGCGCACCGTGTTTTCGGCTTCGGATGATTGTACAGTCCGGCTTTGGGACTTGGATACCAAGAATTGCATCCGTGTTTTCCATGGCCACGTTGGTCAAGTGCAACAGGTTGTCCCTCTACCTCGGGAATTTGAGTTCGAGGAACATGATGCTGAATGCGAAAACGACAACATGAGCACGACTTCTGGTGACTCCGATCCGGCCTCGCTCCAGGCTACTCTAGGACTTGAGCCGAACGAGTTGTCTGCCTTTGGACCGTCCTTTGACAATGGTCGCCCAGCACCACCACGCTACATGGTTACCAGCGCATTGGACTCTACGATTCGGCTGTGGGAAACCACTACAGGTCGGTGCCTGCGCACGTTCTTCGGCCATCTGGAGGGAGTTTGGGCTCTGGGTGCTGATACGCTCCGGATCGTCACTGGAGCAGAGGATCGGATGGTGAAGATCTGGGATCCTAGAACTGGAAAGTGCGAGCGCACTTTCACCGGCCATTCGGGTCCGATCACCTGCATCGGACTTGGTGATAGTCGATTCGCCACCGGAAGCGAGGACTGCGAAGTCCGCATGTACAGTTTCCGGAGTTAGTTTTTTTTCTTTTTTTCTTTCTTCTATTTTCTTCTACTGTTGGTTTTTACGTTATGATCCTTCGTGGCGCACGGTTCTATTGCACATCGGCTTGTTTATTTTCGTGCTTGCATTTCGGTCGATGGAATACCCCGAACTGGCGTGTTATTGTTTTCAAGGGTCATGGAAGGATATTGGAAGGTTTTGGATGGAAGGTGTCTGGCGTTTTGATTTTCTCGGGTATACTTATATACCAAAGTCGATATGACAGTAACGAGTAATGTTTATGTTCTCAACACATTTTCTTGCTACCGGAATATGAAACCGGGTCGGGCGTTGGAAGTATAGCACTTGTCAGGATTGCATCACTGGCACCTGTCCGGCTCATTGTAGAAGTGCTTTCATTCTGATCATCATCATACATCTTCACCTTTATTCGCATAACAAACAGTCGATCAAAATGGTCTACGACACTCAAAACGAAGACCCTGAACGAGGTGAACACCGCAGCCTCTACAGTGACAAAGGTCTCTCCCCTTCCCCCCTCCCCCAACTTCATTTCCCAAAATAGCCAAAACTAACCCCAAAGACGAAAAAGAGGAAGAAATCGAAACACCCTCCACAAACCCCCTCTACATCCACCCATCAACCACCAATATTGACGACCCCAACCCCAACCCCAACCCCAATTCCGAATCTAAATCCAAACTCAACCCTCGCCGCCGTTCCTGAATCCTATTCCGACAAAACCTCCGCTTCCCCACTTCAATTAGACTGTCCACCATTGCAAAAGCTGTCTTCGGCGCGCTGGGCTTCATAATCGGCGTCCTGGTGTGCACGCTCATCATCATCAGCTTGATCTGGGGCTGTGGACAAGTCGTGAATCACATTCGGCATATTGGGGATCCTTCCACCTACCGTCGTTTGAGTGATTATATAACTGTGAAGGATGATATTGATGATCCGTATCCCTATCCCAATCCTTACTCTTACTATTCCACTGACCATGATACGGTGCCAGAAGCAACGACAACAGGAAAAGACATTAAACTTACTTGTAAGGGGGTTGCAGATGCTTGCGAGGGCAGTCTTTTGGAGTTGATGCGGATTCCGAAAGCGACGAGTGTTGTTGTTGTTATGGATAGAGGGAGGGGTGGAGTGATATTCATGGGAAGGACTTAGATAGAGATGTTGAGGCTGATAGGTGGGACAATGTTTATAACCTTCCTAGTGATAATCTCTATGGAGATGGGGATGAGGAAAAGTACCCGGATGAGTTGGTCTGGGGGAATATGTGGATGGAGGAGGATGAGGGAGTGGTGGTTGATAGATTGGAGTATGTATCCGTGTTGGATCGGTTTTGGAATGGTTTATTTGGCGGGTGATATTATTGCTTTGGGGGTTAGATAGGCTTAGTTGTTATCGTTTTGTTCCTTTTTGTTCCGTGATACGGGTATAGTAGCCCTACTTCGATATGGTGATCAATATTGCATCACGAAGATACATTTTAATTTTTTTTTCTCTCTCTACCTTTCTCTGGCGTAGTATCAAAAAAGCAAGCTCTCGCTCAACCAGAAAAATGACCTACGAGCTCTTCTCCCACGAAGATAAAGACCCCGACCTCGAACAAGGCGACATCGAGATTGAAGTCGAACGCGAGAGCGACTTCGAATCTGAACACAGCACTATTTATACCCCGTTTTCATTTACATCTACATCTACATCTACATCACCAGCTCCTGATAAGCAGCAAAAACAACAACAACAGCGGCAACAGAACGAACCCCAACCGCAGCCTGATCCCCAATCTGAGCCCCAGTCCCACCCTCAGTCTGAGTCTGAGTCGCAAACACAAGTTGCAGTCTACAGAATACACTACTATTCTAATAAAGTGCTGGACTGTAGTTTTTGGGATTTGACGGGATTTGTTCTAGCGTTTGTTTTGCTGGTGATTTTGGGTGTTATTTGGGTTGTCGCGGTTAGGAATGCGGATTGATATTGTTGATAAGGGTGGTTTTGGGCTGGTATTGCCGGATATTGAAATGAGATGAACGAGGGTGAGGTTAGCATACATTGTATGTTGATGTGCTTGGGCTTTGCTTCAGATACCTTGCTCTGTTCTTATGCAAACTTGCGAAGAGGCGGCCTAAATTCTCAGCACCATCAATATAGTCATAAGGGCTTCCCATGTAGATGCCTAATTATCGGAGGATTTTGAATTTTTCTTTCGCACAAGTCCTCCCCTCTACCAAATCATCACCAAAAACGACAAAATGGGTTTCATCTACAAACTCCCCGAGTCGGAATATGACCTCAAACAAGGTAGTACCGAGTCCGAGCTCAATGCCCCCCCCCCCCCAAGACGAACAACAAGAGCAGCTGTACCAACATCTAGATCAGCTACAGCAATACAAGAGCTAGATCCAACAACTACAGCAACATCAGCAAGAGCAACAAGAAGATTAACAGCTGATCCAGGAATAGCAGCAGGAGCAGCAGCAGGAGCTCAAGGGGCAAATAGTGTACCTACAGGATCAGATACAGGATCTACAAGGTAAGCAGCTGCAGCTATAGGAGCATCGGAACAAGAGCCAACTGTCACGGGCTCGGAATATTGGATATTAACGAACCGAATTCCTATTTAGACTATTGTAACCACCAACGAGAATGTTGAATCTTAAGAGAAAAGAAGAAAAGGAATCTATCTAAAGGAAGAAAGGGGACTTTTATCTATGATCTTTGTGAACGCGCCAAGTGCTTTTTTTGTTTGCTTGCATGGTGGTGTTTGTCGATATCAGCCACTATGGCGGCGTTGAGGTGTTAAGCCGTCACACTAACCGTGGTGGACAATTCCGAGCAAATATGATCCTAAGGGGTTCTGGGATCTGAAGCTGTCTGATATTGGGGAGTATTCTATGACGCTTGCTATAGTGGCGCTTATTGTGACGGTCTCATGCAATCTGAGTATATTGGTAGACTATATGGCAAAATACTGTTAGGGTTTTGAGCTCAAGTTGTCTTAACCTAAAGCTAACCTTTATTGTACAAGAAGGAATCGTTGAAAAAGAAACAAACAGAGCAGAGGTGGAAGTAGTCTTTTATGGTCGTATAGAAATGAAGTTCCAGGTAGTGTTATCAGCAGTCCCTCGCGGAAGTCAGGAATTGACCAAAGGGGCCAATGATAGTCTTCGTATGCTACGGGTCGTACGAAGGTTTTTGATAGTTATTTCAGACCCCTTGTTGGCTGCGTTCTGTGCAAGCCCTAGCCAAACTGTTATCCTTTGGGTTCGTACGAGAACCCCATAACACATTCATGAGTAATATTGCTAGCACCACAGTAGTCAAGATGACTACTACACTACCCGTTTCTCCCACGCCTAGGTCTACTGTCACCAACGTGGGTATGGGTTACTGGTGGGTGAGTCTGCCAAAAGCGTTTCATTGAAAGCGAAGGTATGTTGAACGGATTCAGAGGTCTGATGGAAGGCGCAGTCGTTCATTAATTTTTTGGGTGCCGGTCGGTGCTCCCTTTATGGGCAAATACGAAAAGACCATATGATGTGGAAGAAAGTAGAATTTATGTAACTAAGGTTATGACATTTTTGTTTATTTCCTATTGATTTCTGCAATCCCGTTAGGTGTCTCTCAACGAAGTTTCTAGAAAATATCACCCCGTGTTGATATTGACCGCGTATTTGCTGTTCTTGCGGACTCTCGGTCCGTAGATGTATAGCAGATAGGGCACAAAAGCCATGACTGCACTGACAGACCCAAGAATCGTGAGTGTATACTGCACACCAAGAGCCTGATAAATTGGACCGCCAGCGACAGTCATACCTCCCGCAACCACATATCGCGTGAACACGAGGAACCCAAGTGCTGAAGCTGAATATGTATCGTATGAATCAATGAGATACATATACGAAACAATAAAAATAGTTGTGATACCGAAGCCGAAGAGAACAGACGCAACTAGAGGAGACCAAATTGAAATTTCTGGCTGAAAAAGAAAAAGAAATATTAGTCTTCTGTACATCAGTTAGATATCTTGACGACTTACGTTGCTGGTCCACCCCATCCAGAACAAACTGATCGGCACTGCTGGTGCACCACCAAGCATTGTATACCAGAGTCTCATCTCAGGGGCAATGGGAGAGGACTTCTCTCGAGCATAGGCCTTTGCAGTCCAGCTGTGAACCACTGGCACCACGCAGCTAACAAGCAGGATCCCAACTAGCATACCAGCCCAGCAAACACTGGTTAGGCCCTCTGAGATGCCATATATTTCGCCGAAGACATAAGTGTAGCCCTCTAGGAAAGTGAAGAGAATGATGTAGATAATAGTCAAATAGAGCGAGACTAGAATGATAATCAGTTCCGAGTAAAACATTGCAAAAGGCCGGTACACAGAGAGCTTCAGACGCTGGCCTAGGCTCTCCCGTTTCATTTCCATTGGAGCCCTGTATCTTTCATCCCCAGTTTCCTTTCGAAGTATCGAAGCTTTCCAAAAGAGAATAAGATTGCCATAGGTCTCAGGTTGAAATAAGAAGACCAGAGCCAGAACTGCGCCGCCCATGATAAGCATTATCCACTCCAACCAACGCCAGCCTAATGTGGTTGGAACATAGCTTCCAATTAGCTGACCAATCATTGGCCCTGCAAATGCTGGTATGGCATAGACAGGAAAAGCATAGGCCTTCTCTACCGGATTCCATAAATCTGCAACCGTGCCGCCGGCGCAGCTTAGTGGGGTCGAAGCAAAAAAGCCAGCAATAAAGCGAAAAATAAGGTGGCCATGAATATTTGGGGCAAGGCCTGATGCCATAATAAAAATAAGAAAGAGGAGCATGGTCGTTAAATATATCGCATTGCGGCCAAAGGTTTCAGAAAAAGGCCCTGAGAAGAGAGAACCGAACGCAAAACCGATGAGAAAGAGACCTTTTGAAAATACAAAAGTTTCAGCTTGGATCCTCTCTGGTATGGGGGAAAGGTGGGTTGGTAACAGAAAATAGATGTCGTCTTACCTGTTGCGAGAGATCCAACGACTGCAGATACCTGGAAGTACTCGCTATACTCCCTGACACCACAAGCATCAATCGCTGAGGCGGCAGTAACAGCAAGTGCGATCAAAGATACCAAGACAGTAATGGAGAGCTTTCGCGAAGTACTCTGATTTACAGGGTTCAAGGGATCATTTTGCGTTTCCCAGCCCACAAGAATCAGGTCACCTGAAATTGTCGAGTTCGTAGGTGGTGGTTTCCCCGGAGTGCCGTGATGGATGCTCAATCTACAGCTATGCAAATATGTCAGACAAATGCAGCCCTGATCTAATTTTGCAAAAACTAACTTCGTATTATGAGGAGACCCAACAGTGTAGCTCGGGCAGCTGCAATCATTTTTCAGTTCTAACAGGTGCTGTTGGACTGCTTGCTGAACTCTTTGGTACTGGAAATATGCCTCCATGGCTGCCGATCACTGCAAGACAATGAAGCCAAAGGTAAGTGAAGAGGGGACAGAAGATATATAACATGATTAAAGCTAGGCTTAACCATCTGAGGTAGTCCGGAAAGGACATGGGCGAAGCTAACAAAATTCATAAAGTGTGGAGAAGCATTGATGAGCCAGCCAGTTCATGCTGAGGGCATCGGACATCAACGGCCCTACCCGCAGCATCATCTCCGATGTCTAAAATCTCAATTCCGATATGCCATCTATTTCTCCGACGGCTCGGACTTAAACTGGCCAACCCTAATGGGGTTAGTTGCAATACACGGTGTACTTGATTACATACGTTGCGATCAGGGATCGACAGTAGTTTTCTCTGGCTCCCTCCATCTTCGAAGTCCGATCTTGTTCATGGCTATGTCGTCTCCGACAAACAACTTCCGTGTCTGACTTCTAACCTGAAATTGTCTATGTAGGCCTTTTTCTTTTCTTTAATTGATGGTAATGGTCCATAATATTTCGTCCCACAACAGGCCTGTGGAACAAACCCCGGGATCTCATCGCCAAAAGCGCAGAGCCGTTAATTGCGAGGAATGCCAACGCTCCAAGTTACGATGTGATCGCCAGCACCCGTGTGGCGCTTGCAAATGTCGCAGATGCGAGGCCAGTTGCTCATACGGGATTCCCTCTGGTGCCCCTGTATCAATCAAAACTCACAGGACGCCCATTACTGCTCCAGTATCAACTGCGCCGAGCAGTGGAGTAGGATTCCCGTCCACTCCATTGAGACAAAACTTTGCCAATGCTTCAGTTCTACATCCTGAAGCGCCGATATCTAAAGCGAATCAAGCGCCTCTAGGTACAAACTGAGAAATTGTGCTTCAAAGGCCAGCTCCAGAACATGACGCTCACGATAGTTTAACACCTTTGTCAATCAGCCCGCGCATTTCTCTTCATTGAACAATTGACTCTCTTTCTCCTAAGTCCTGTTGCGACTACCTGATTTCACGGTTTTTCAAACATATATCCGCTCTGTTCCCTACTCTCCATGGCCCAACGTTCCAAAAACAATTTACAGCGTTCATAAGGGCCCAAAGAGATGATGAATGGGGACTGGAAGCACTGGAAGAGGCGATTAGAACAGGAGAAGGATAGCAGGAAGGGTAGCCTGAGCTAAATCCCCAGCTTAGGCCATACCCACCCTGCTGTGAAACACAAGGAGAGCACTCTGCTCGAAAGCCCTGCGCATACAGGCGGTTTGGGGCGAGGAAAAGGATCAGAAAGATTATAGAAGGAGGCTAGTGCCTCAGGAGCTTATAGGGATAAGCGACTGTAGAGTAGCTACCAGCCTAAGCCCACGAATAAGGGTCTGCCATAGCTCTAGGGCTCGGTGTGGACAATGAACTTGATTAGATAATAGTAATAATATACCAAGGCCTACGGAGAGCCGCTACATCAGTCCTCATTCAAATGCAAACTGAGAAGATTGCGCTGACTAGTTATCTTGGTATCTTTAAGGCAATGGAATCAACTGAATGCTCTTGCGGACGTGGCCTTCAAGATACATGCCATGCTCTCCTCCACTGTACAAACCAGCAGGTCCCCGAATGCGTCATCTTACACAGGGGTCAAGGAGGGAGCTGGATTACCGGGCATACGTAACATGGCCAGACCTGGTACCGAAGGTAGTGCGGTCCGGCCTAATCTATATCAATAGAGTCGACTCAGCTATACTAACCCTATAATATGTGTAGTATAGTAAATGTAGATGCTCTTCGTCTCTCAAAACGATGGGAATACCCGCTTGATAACTATTTAATGCTAAGGACCCGAATCCTTAATAAAACGTGCTAGTTTCATAATAACGAAAGTGATATCTAGCCGCGTAGAAACAATTGGCCAAATCAATAAACTAGATTGTTTATAAAATATCATTAATCTCTATCTTCGTTATATTGCTTTCGAAGACGACGAGTACCTACCTCCTTTTGGTTTATCAGAGTAGGCACCGGGTTGCATTTATATGTATGTCCCGAATTTGGATAATAGCTAAGAGTTCCTTTTCTCTAATCTCAATGCCTAGGTGGAGCTAGGATCCGTAACTTCCTCCAAATTCTGTCACAAGTCGTCAGGATGTGATGTAGGTGGGGGGCCTGGTCAATTCAAATACTTACAAAGTTTGTTAGGTCGCAATTGAACCAGTCAAAGCCACCAATCCAGTCTTCGAATGACGTCCAAGAATCACCACGAACGCTTGGCCCCGACTCCCGTACGATGGAAAGCTGACGTCTTTGCGATTCAGCAGACAAAGAAAAAAATAGTTAAAGGAAAGGGCTACAAGGGGTTTGTCACCTACTGTAAATGCTGAAGTATTGTAAATGCCTTGGCACAGACAGGGCTTCTATGTTGAAGTGTTTCCATGCGGTCCACTGTCGAGTGTAACTCGTTCCAGTATGGCGTTGAATCAAAAGTATCCGGCATACTCAGGAGACATGATGCTAATGCAACTGCACCATGAAGGGCATTTAAGCTAGTCATGCCATTTACTAACCACTTGAAATGCCGCAGTCTTGGCAGCTCGCAAAATTGACGGTGTATACTGAGCAAGGCAGCACTCGACTTAATACACCTGTCTCTTGAAGAAAGAAGGAAGTTCGAATATTGTGAATTGTGAAAAGGCCGATGAAGAAGAAGATAAAGTTGGTGAGCATAGGTTTGAAGGATGCACCAATGGGCATAGCTTGCATGGTCTAAAAGACGCGGTAAGCCATTCACCAAAAAAGCCGAGTCCCATAGCTGTTCCTCTTTGGCTATTGCAGTATCTAGATGGCCCAAGTAGAGTTGATTGAGCCTCGAGGGCCCGGATATATGGCAACAGACCTCTGCTGAAAGTCGGAAGAGCCGTAATTTGAATTTCATCAAAGACATCTGTGTAGGCCGCGAAGTTGTTTGTAGGATTTTGTCTTCGTGAATATCACTGTCATTAGCCTCCGTTGGCATCACCGCCTTTATGTTGAGGAGAAACGACATGTCAACATCGCGAAAGAGAATGGCTTGATAGGTGTGAAGCATAAGAATCCCAGCCCAGCATCTTCGGCGTCGTTCGGTATCGATACAGTTCAAGTCTGCTGCGTTGATATGACAACGCAGCGCAATTCCCATGTTCAAAGCCATTCCGAGTATTATCCACCCTCGCTCAACACCTTCACTATGAGAGACAGAATATGTCAGAATCAAGATAGTCTCAAGTGTATTGAGATCGTGGCAAATCAAGAACTTGTCCTCAGCAAGACAAGTTAAAGAAGTCTTCCGAAGTTGATGGACCGTAGCAATTGTGCCATCATGCTGTGGCTGTTCTGCATATAGATTTGCCAGGACCGGGTCTTCGGGATCAATGGTATTCAATGTCACAGAGCATATCATGAACAGTAACGCTAGCCAAGAAAAGGTTGTCTTGCTTCGGTCTTGTAGGAATGCTGAATACTGCTTTTCAAATGTGGGTCCGTGTATTATTATTATTTAATCAAGTTTATTGTCCATACCGAGCCCTAGAGCTATGACAGACCATTATCCGTGGACTTGAGGCCGTTAGCTATCCTACAGTCTCTTATCCATATAAGTTCCTGGGGCACTAGCCCCCTTCCATACTCTTTCTGATCCTTTTCCTCGCCCCAGACCGCCTGTTTGCGCAGGGCTTTCGAGCACTGTGCTCTCCTTGTGTTTCGTGCAGGATGGGTGCGGCCTAGGCTGACTTCAGCTCAGGCTACCCTTCCTGCTATCCTTCTCCTGTTCGAATTGCCTCTTCC